AGGAATGTAAATGCATGAGCTAACCATTTTTGTCTAAACTGTGAAGCAGCATTATATATGCATCATGTGCATGATTTTTCCATATATGGCATTAGTGGAAATATGCTTTTAGAGACTTTTTGGTTGATAAATACGTTTTGCTGTGTGAAAATCACACACACCTGGTGTGTGTGTGTGTTTAGGTTAGTAAATCACCCCCTATGGGGTTGATTTACTAACCTTATAAACACACCACGAACGTGTATACACCTCTGCAGTGTGTTCCCTCCCAGCATGATCTATGGGTGGAATCTAAACACCTTTGTAATGTGTACACACCCAGCAGGTGTTTTGTGCAAAGCCCTGAAGGAATTCCAAGGTGATGTTGGGTAAATTAGCTCTATGTTGTGTTGCTTGCGTTGATGAATGCAAGGAATGTAAATGCATGAGCTAACCATTTTTGTCTAAACTGTGAAGCAGCATTATATATGCATCATGTGCATGATTTTTCCATATATGGCATTAGTGGAAATATGCTTTTAGAGACTTTTTGGTTGATAAATACGTTTTGCTGTGTAAAAATCACACGCACCTGGTGTGTGTGTGTGTTTAGGTTAGTAAATCACCCCCTATGTGTCATTGATCTTAAGGTGGCACTATACTCAGGAGTTAAATCTTAAAGATACATTCCAGTACCTTAACTATTAACAAAAATGTATCTTATTTATTTATCACTCAGCTGTAGATCCTCAAATCATCTTTGAATTGGTGCTGACGCTGTCCTTGATGGACTATAATCTCAATACAAATCAGTAAACTAAACGTGAGATGATTAGTCCATCACAGGAGGGAGCTTGGAGTAGCCACCTTCCAGATGGAAGGACAGTGTCGGCAGCAATTCAGAGATGATTTGAGAATGTACAGCCGAATGATACACAAATGAGGTACATTTTTGTTAATAGTTAAGGTACTCGAATGCATTTTAAAGATTTAATGCCCGAGTTTAGTGTCACTTTAGCAAAATGCATACCTAAATCAAGGGCAGGCAGCAGGAGAGCTGTCAGTTAGTAAGTACATTACTAGGGATGAAAGTTATTGAAGTAGCAGCAATAATAATAAACATAATGATATTTTATAATGGGACAAAATGATTAATGCTGTTGCACGCCATTACTCTATAACTCTATAATAAATTGTATGCCCAGTTTAAGACAGATAATCAAATGGTTCTTACTTCACAGAGTGAGATCTGTCACTAGCAACCATCCTGAGATCTGACTTCTGCCCTTCTATACTGGAAACTTCACAGCTTAGTTTCTAACAGCTTTCTTAATGTGGTCCCCCTCCTACCCCAATCCCCATGGAAGCTGTATGGGCTGCTATGGCTATTGTTACACCCCTGCATCCAATTGACCACATGGAAAGTAAGAGATTTTCCAAACAGAGAGCAGCAATAAACACAAGGCAAAAGTTTTAACCCTTCCCTGCTTATGAAAATGAGAGTTGTTTGGATGTCTTGCTGACACTCTTATTTCCTTACTTTGAGTCACTGACCTGAAATTAATTTGCAGATAAAGACTTATGTCTTTCTCTGGTTACCATAATCCATTTTGAGTATGTGACTCCAGGAAAATTAAGGCCAAAGAGAGAAGGAGATCAGCAGTGGAATCCCTGTATTTCTCACATAACAGGTTTACATTTGGCTGCTTCTAAGGAGGCACAGATACCAAGTACCATACTTAGTACAAGTATTGATACCACTGGTCTACAAGGATAAATCCTTGGAAATGAAAGTAGCTAAATTTGACCAGAATTAGGTCACTAATAAAGGAAAATTAAGCCCTGAGTTTTCATTGGCTTCTGTTTCCAAGATACAGCTTCAGGTCAAAATGCATCAAAATAATACAAAATTACGAGGGGAATGTGCGATTATGCTCCATAACTTTTCTGGAAATATGGTATTACAATGAGAATGGTGCCACACCAATCATTATACATTTGTCTTTTTATTGATACCAATAACATAACTTTCCATTCATTTATTGGTTTTTCATGTAACATTTTCATTCTTTTTGCATGGAAAACTGACAAGCTCTAACATCAGATTAAACGGCAAGGTTCCATCTTTATTCGGTAACTAAACTGCACTTTTTGACTTTTCTCTTGTCAGTCTTTCTTGACATAATGGGAATCTCTGGCTCAACTGTCCCATTCACAGAGGAAACAGCAGTACTTTGTGTATCCACTCAGTTGGTCTCTCAGCTGATATAATCCGATTTGTTAAGCGCGTCACCAAAATTAAATGGCCAGATCGTCCTGCAGGACACACGCTAGTTCCACGCTGGTCTTCCCTTAGCGCGCTTTCGCCCTCCATTGAGGGCTTCCTCAGAGGGGCATGGCAAATGCTGGTATATCTGAACATCCCTAGCTGATTCCATTTCTGATATTCTCTAAAGTTGAACTAGTTTGTATGAAGCTTAAGGTGGGGGTTGTCATTTCAGGTATTTTTATATAGTTTATATATACAGTATATACAGTATATACATATATATATATATATATATATATATATATATATATATATATATATATATATATATAGAGAGAGAGAGACATATAGATACATAATAGATAGCTAGATAGATAGATAGATAG